TACTGTATTCTGCCATGTTACATTGTCTGCTATTATACTACAGAGGTCCTCAGGCTCTTTCATCTTGCACTAGGAGGGCTTTTTGCTCTCGTGCCTCGGGCCTAGGGCCCAAAGCACTAAGGGCCAAGGGCTTCAGGTTGCAGGGCTTCCTGGCTTTGCTCCTCCAAGCTGCTTGAGGTTAGACGAGGACCTCTGTCCTAAGGACATCCAATGTAAGCGAAACTACTTTGAAGCGCCTGCGGCTTTCGCTCCGTTGTCATGCCCACCAGGACACCACAACCAGGCGACAAAAAGAAACCGAAAAGCTCTCCAAAACTTAGCAGCACTATGGGGTCTAAGCCTTCAGCAGCCCTCAAGGAACGGACATCCGGCTACCGGAATCCGGACCTTGCCTGAGTCTGTCTCATCCGTTCCTTGACCAGTCCTGCATCACACTGCCGACTCTTCCTTCTGCTAGCCTAATCCAACGGTTCCGGCATTCAAACTTTTCCCGCTGCTACTCATGATTCGCGATGGAGACGACCACGCAGAGACGTGAGGTCTGATCCTGAATGACTCAAGCAGGCATGTTCAGACTCAGCCACCCACCTCAACACTTCAAAGCCAAAAATGTGATCTAGCCGATGATGCAGCACCAGCACAAACACTGTCCAAACTGCGGTGTTTTCAAGACAAAGCGAACCCCAAGTCCACACAGGACTCCCTAAGCCGGATCAGCATCCGCAGCTCCTGTGGGGAAACACCACCTGCAGCAGCATGGCAGCGACCTCACCTCAGCCGCAACCGCCCTCAGGGCCGAAGGTTGTACCCCAACATACACCCTACAGCCAGAAACCTCACCCGCTGCCTCCTTGCACCCGAAAGAACCCAACGAAGGAGGACCTTTGCCCAAAAAGAAAGACACGACCCTGAAGCCCTGACCTTCTTGAGCCTTCAGAGCAACTTGTGGAGTTCTGGGGTCAGACTTTCCGGCTGGTAGGTGCAAGAGATGTGTTTTGTCTGTGAAAGAGGTCCGGCAATGAGCATCTCCATTCCCCAAATGTGCGCTGGTAACGGTTTTGTGTCTGAAAGCAATCGCGCAACCCTAAACCTTTGACAACAAATACGGCTGGGTCTGGGCCATCTAGTTTCTGACCCCCGAAGTCTTCATCCTTGCGCCTAGCAGCTGCCGATTCTCCGGATTTCGGGGGCTGGGGCCCTAACCCCTAAACTCCAAAGCCAAAGCCTTCTGCCTTTAAGCTGCCTATTGTTCGAAACGATTTGCAGCGCTGTTCGAGGGCCCCTGCCGGTCTCTACCGCTGAGAGGACCGTGGGGCCACCAAGCGATGCGTCCTGAAGAGCAAAAGGAAAGATGAATGCAAAAAAGCACAGGAAGAAAGTTGGGGAAAGCACAATGAAAATGATGCTACTCTTGATCGCGCCCTCTCATGAAGTGGTTTCGACTTGCGTTGGCAAAGCGTTCTGAAGCGAACTGTGATTCAGAAGAAAAGACTGCGAAAGCACGCCGTGCACTTCCCGTGGCATCTATGGATCCAGGGCGTAGCGATCGTTCAACCCGTGTCTGAAAACGATGTGCTGCTGCTTCTCTCATCCTCCTCGACTGCTACTGCTACTACTCCTCAAGCGCCTAGTCTAAAACCAGTCGCAACTTCGAAGCTATGTGTCTTCTCACGAAACTTTCGCGAAACAAACCCAGTGGGGCATGTCTGAGCCCAGTCCAATCCCGGAAGCTTAATCCTAGCCCAAGCACAACGAAGCACGGAGCCACCCCGTCCAAGCCTGACGTGTGAGGCGCCAAGCCGCGACGGATTGACCCCGAACCTGACCCGACAGTCCAGGAAGGACCGCGGATTTCTTCATTGAGGGTTCGGGGCCAAGAAGACGGGGATCAAACTGGACCATATCTGCCCTGGCTTCAGGTCTCGGGGATCGAATCTCAGGGTCTTCAAAGGTGATACTGGTGGTAGGTTAGGGGTTTTGCTCTTGTCATCGTAGACAGGCAGAGCAACCGTGACCAACAGAGAAACCGTAAAAAAAGTCGAACAAAACTACATCACTGGAACATCAGGCACAGATACACTGATGCGTTTGCATCTTGTACCTCACCGTAATGGAAGACCCGCCACAACACACTCACGGATGCAAGTGCGAATGCAAGTGCGAATCGGCTTGCACCGCTCCACGACCCTCCACACACGCGCGCATATGCGCGCGCACATCTCAACATCTCCTTTGACAACACCCGCATTGAATGTTATTTTGACTTTGTGTTGACAGCGTCTGCGGGAGACAGAGCATGAACAATGCAACATACCGCATGGTACAAGTGGCACTAGCAACGGTAGTAGAGTAGTCGATGGCCGGAGACCTGGAATCAGGAGGAGCAGGAGTTGCGGTAGTGGATACGAACTCACCAGTAGTGTTGGCTGTCACCACAATGATTCTCCTTATTGCCGGCTGCGGCGATCCAGCCATTCATCAGTACCATCACCCTCATCGTCATCGTTGTCATCATTGCCATCATCAGTGTCAGAAAGATGACGAAGGATGTCAAGACGAAGATGATGTGGCTTTGTGACAGTCTTGACGAAGCCTTGTGTTCAGGTTGGTGCATGCAACACCTAACGGCTTCCGCCGATGACAATTGTGCCAGCTGGACCATCAACTCGGAGATGGAACTTACGCAGACGTGTCACATGATGTGTCACCAAATTTGCATTGCACTACTCGCACTGTTGCTAGGACGGATTCTACTGCTGCTGCTAGTGGCTTTGCTACGAGCGATACTACCCTAAACACTGGAACTCCAGGTCACCATCATGGCAACCATTGTCTTAAGCACTCTTTTCGTCATCGTTATCACACCCACCATCACCACCAGCATCGGCAGCAGCATCACCATGATCATCCCCCCCAGTAATTTTCGTGTGAGCCCGCAACATGCTTCAGGCGCAGCGATGCGCGGAGCATGGGCAGGCACGACCTTGAACACCCAACGATGGATGAGAACAACCGCAGCAACAATAAGACGAAAGTAAGAAGAATCAAAACAGAGTACGATCATCATGTGAGTACTAAGTTAAGCCGTTCTGGGCAGTGGAGGGCAATATAAGCACTCAAGAAGCGCGCGAAGAACTGCTGCTAAGGAGTCTCAAATCAAGGCCTATTGCAGCACATAGGATAGTAACAGGTAGCAATCGAACAGTCGGTCTTTACAGGCATCAAGATTAGCCCCAACCTTCTGTGAAAAGAACTCCTGGTCCACAAGCCATGCGAAGTAACCAGTTTCAACACTACTCTTGCGAAAACTGCGATGCAGTTGCTGCTAGCAGAACCCATATGTAGCACTGGTAATAGCACTGTGACCACTACTCCTGCCAAAATGAGTGCTAATAGCATGGCTATAACCCCTGTTGCTGCTATGATGATTACGAATGCTCTCAAGTCTACGATGGTTGTTAATGTTGTTGTTGGTACTGTACAGGTTGAGCTCACAAGCATCCTTCAAACCGTGCAGAAACGAACGTGACTGCAGACTACCGTTATGACGTCCATTATTGCAAAGATTCAGAATACAGGAATGGAGGTAGCGGCTTTAAGAATGGAGGTCGCAGAATGGAGGAAATTTTTGAAGAATTGCACCAGCATGTTGCCATGAGTTGCAAGCCGTGAACAAAAGCTACGCCGGGGAACGGATTATGTTGGAATTGGTCGAACACCTAAACTTGCTGGGGTTACCACAACGCATCGCACAGCCGCTCCTACAGTTGTGGTACAGTTGCTACCTTTTTTCAAGCAGGTCGTCGCCAAGATCGCAATAAACATCTTGGAGTTTCTGCTGCAGCGGGCTCATGGCAGAGAGGTATCCCTCGCCGCTGGAAAGATGCTCCTTGACGACGTGGTCCACCAGCGCCGCGACGGATCCTTGCTGTAAGTGACGCTTTGGCCCTGGCAGCTCAGCAGGGCTGCAATCCAGAGCCCGGAGCTGGGGCTCGGAGCTGGCACCATCAGGGCGAGGCAGACGAAACCTGCATCAGCCTTGGAGCGGCTAGCTGCTCGAGATACGCCCAGTTGCCATTGCGACTTTGCGTCGACTCTGATGCAGGAGCTTCGAGTGAAGCGCACAGGAGTTCTTCCCACTCTCCGGCATGCTCTGTCATTGCAGGATTGACAAATTATCAAAGCTTCAACGATCATTGCATCGTATCACGTTACTTCTCCTCGCAATTGAAACCTGTGACAAAGTCAGGCTGTGGCTGCTCGGATTATCAACATCCTCAACGGCGTGCATATCTTCCAGAGCCAAAGCTATATTGCCTTCTCATAAGAACATTCCAACTCAAATGCTCTACTCTGAAACCTGTCCAAGATCAACTGCGAACACAAGTCCACCTGAATTTACCGAACCCAATAATTCCTACATCTTACCTATTTTAGAGATGCCTGCTGCTTGCATAAGTGGACGTCATAAGTCTACCTGCTGCCTCGTGTGTTCCGCTGCAGTGAACCCTGCTCCCAAAGATCCTGAACCGTGAACCCTTGAGCAGAAACTCGAATCGCAAAACTCCATTCTAACTGTGCTCGCAGGATTGGAAGCCATAGTGCCATAGCAATAATAAGAAGGCTCATCAAGGAAAACGCTTAAGATGAAAAGGAGCGACAATTGCAAGCCCGCGGCTTTGGCATCAACTCCCTTGCTCGGTAAACCAACTCGTCAAGCATCCTCGGGCCACACTTGGCCTGCGCCAGGCTTGGCTGTTCGGGGCTTTGGGGCACAAGTTCGGGGCCAAAGCTTGGGTTGAGCTTTGGAACTCTCAAAGTCTATCGACTCATGACAGGAACCGTTGAAGTCAACCCCAGCTTGGGGCCGTCAGCACAATTAGACACCAATCTCTTCAGAACGGCTTTCCAGATGAGTCCGCGTTCACATTGTATGCTCCCCAGGCTCTGCACCCTAAACCTGAAATCAGGCTCATGATCTTCCAAGCCCGGCTGTGCGCCTCCACCTCAGGCAGAAAAGGGAAAAGCTCCAGGAAGCGAACGAATTGCCCCGGCACCAGCTCGTAGTACAGCGCCTGGGAACAAGTCTGATCATCGTGACTGTCTTTGTCTCTACTATTACCATGATAGTGAACGATGTTGCTCTGTCACGTTGTGGAGTCGCCTGCACACATACCTAGGACCTCTTTGCCTGATTCCTCTCGACAACGAATGGAATACTGTTTACAGCTATTACCACCATTCTCTTTCACAAGTTTGTTGTTATGATGCTTCCGATCCTTGCCGGATCATCAACGATCTCTTGTTATTGCCACCATGCAAACTATCATCCTCATGTTTATGTGCCTGGCACTTTCTACTCTTCTACTTGCTGTGGTCTAAGACATTTTGTACATGGGAGAGCACTGCCCAAGGGCATATCCGCAAAACCCTGGGATCCTCTAAGAAGCCAATCCTTTCATCCGATCATCTTGGGCCCGGATCGTTCCAAGCCTAAAGTATCCAAAAAGATCATACGGACGCTTAAGACCCTACACACGAAAACACCTTACAGGCCCTAAACCCGACAAAACCCGGAAACCCAGCAAAAACCATGAGAAAACCCGGAAAGCCTCCTGAAACCTGAAATTGACACTCAACCCAGATCCAGAAACCTAAAAGACCGAGTTAAAGTCTGTGTCTGCGGACTCCAGCATTAGCACAAGCAACCCTACACCCTAAACCCTAAACCCCGCACCCTAAACCCTAAACGCAAGCTTTTCACCACCCCAAGGCGATCCTCGAGGCGCTTGGCGAGTCGTGGAATGAGGCGGGGCCTTGCAGGCGGGCTTACGGCTTTCTTTCTTTAGGTTCTTTTGCTCAGCTTGGTGTGTTCAGGGCTTCTTTTAGATTTGGGGCTCTTCGGGTTTTGGGGCGTTTAAGCTTCCGGCTTGAGGGCTGTTTGGGTTCCAAGGGCGGTTTTCCGGAGGGTTGGGGTCTGTTCCTGAAAGGTGTCCCGCGCTCTGGGTTGTCGGCTTCACGGTACAAAGCGCTGGATTTAATGCCTCGAAGATTCATCTCTTGTTTTCCAATTTCAGCAGTCCTAGCTCCAAAACCTCTGTTTAAGCAGAAAAGTTGATATATAGAGAAGATTCCTTGATATGTAACTATATATTCCAACACCAGAACCCTCTTCCAATAACTTATAACCATTGAGGCCACTATGTCAGAGCCGGCTCAACACTCTAAACCCTAAACCCCAAAACCCTTGACCCTCTAAACCTTAAGCTAAGGTCCCAACGCAATTGCATCTTCATTGCCGGTACGGACGAGATTGGCCAAGGCGAGGCATAGGTGAAGAACCTGAGTGGGAAGCGACCTGTTGAAGACATTAAACCCTAACCCTGCGTAATACAACATCTTACAATGTAAAATAGAATCATATCACGTCATCATTTAAAATCATATCACGATCATATGCTGTCCTCCTGGTGCCACTATATAAACTACCTTTGGGTGACTCAGAAACTAACTCGACCCTGGCATAGATCCCTAGAGGCCCTAGAAAGCAAGAGAATCCTCACAAAAAGGACCCCGACGTAAGGTACTCCACCTTTCAGAAGAAACCCACGTTGGCTCTGTTCTTCAATCTTCCGTCGTGTTGCCCGCATCTGGGCAGGACCCGAAGCTCTGCAACAGGCTTTACAGAGAATCCGGCACCCTGCGAGATAGGGTCCGGGCCTAAGGCTTGCCGCTTGCTTTGTGGGTTTTTGTTGTGGGCCTTCTGTGGGTTCGGGTTCCAGAAATGCCAGGCAAGGCGACCCTGGCCCCGGTTCCCAAAAGGAAGCCTGCACTCTCAGGAACTTCGAGTTGAAGTTTTTAGTCGTAAGGCGGGGGGGGGTCCAGGTTGCCCCGAACTCCGAGACCAAGCGTCCTAAGCACCCCAGACTCTGCAACGTGAACTCACGACTTACACCAACCCCACCGTGGCCACAAGAAAGAAACCCGTGATGCATGGACGTAGGGCGACAAACAACAGCAAATTGTCGCCAAGGAGCATCAGAACCCTTGAAGGAGAAGATATGTCGCTCACCTTGGGATTTAGATGTTCAGGGACAGAGGCCAGGGATCGTCATGCTTGGCAGCTGCCTTTAAGGCAAGCACACTGCTCCAGCAGAACTTCAACAAATGCTCGATTGGAGATCTCGCCGCCAACAGCTGCCTGCCGGTTTAGGTTCCTAGGCCTGCCATCTGGTTACTTGCCAAGGTGCAAAACCGAAAAGTGCAGTCATCTCATGTCGCACATATAGACATGGATACAGATATGAATATAGATGTAGATGTAGATAGATATAGCTACAGGCATATGTATAGATAAAGATGTAGTATAGGCATAGATAGAGATTGAGATAGAGGTAGAGGTAGAGATCTAGGTATGGTTGATTGATTGATTGACACATCTTTCTCTATGCGTCTGTATAGAGAGACAGAGAGAGCATACAAAGTTGTTCACGTGTTGTTCTTCATGTTTCGATGTCTCTACTTTTCTGCTTATTGAATCATGTATCTGTTCGTTGCCTACGTATTCACTGATTCACGGACCCATTTACATACCTGCTATGTATTTGCCTTGTGCAAATACCAGTTTATACGGTGCAAATAGCAGTTTAGAAATCACACTTCTGGCCTCCGGCAGGAACAGCGGTTGCAGCCAATCCTCTGCAAAAGGCTTGTCACCTGCAGGACAGATGCACCAGGCTTCGATCTAGGCGAACCAGGCCCCAAAATCCAAAACGCTCCTCAACTCTACCTTCCGGCAGATGGTCAAACACTGACCACTTGCGCCTGCTGCTTCGCCGTCTTCCCTGGTTGCAAGGTTGCAGTGAGCTGGCGAATAGATAGACTTGTTGGTTCGGGAGGCAAACCTGCCACAACGCCCGACCCTTTCCAGCAGCACGTGTTGGCCAAAACTGCCGGTGGCTTTGATTTGCACTGGCATTTACTACCTTTCGGTGGTACGGACTTTGGTTGTTGAAAGCATACCTTTGCGTGTTACAAGGTTTTCTACTCATTCAAGTTACTGTTGTCTTCGCCGTCGTCGTCACTGTGGACAGACATATATATCTATATATATCATATGCCATAGAGACCCGACACAGGCAGAAACACAGAGTTGGGGACCGTACATGCAGACAGGCAGACAGACACCCAGACGACAGACTGACCGACAGCCAAACAAACAGATAGACAGACAAACCGACTGACAGAAACACAATCCAAAAGACCCACAGACGTGAGACATCATGACTGCATGGTCCCATTTATGCCAGGTATGCGTAGGCAAGACATGGCCCTGTACATCGCTGCCTCCGTCTGCCCTCAATGCCCTGCTAGCCCGGCCTTGCAGTACGGGTGAAAGCGCAGGCCAACAAGGAGAGTGCATGACCGTCGTTCAGGCGGTCCATACCTGAAACTTGCACGCACGTCAGTGCTTTTGAAAGCGGATGCGTGTAAGCCCTTCACAGGGCATGCATCATAAGGCCTCTCATCCACAGCAACACAGCCCGACAAAAGGAAGGATTATGCTGATGGTGAAGATGAACATGAACATCATTGCTGTGGTCATCAGAAACATGATCAGCATCATCTCTAATTACTCTAACTGTGCCTTTGATCCTGTCCGAGTTGCGTGGTGTCAGTGAGGCGACGATTCGGTCAAAGACAAGGGCTTGAGATGGATCCGACAGCCTCGGCATCAACTCGCATGAGGTTCCCGGAATTCAGGGATGCTGGGAGCCCAGAGCGGATTAGGCCATGAAGAGAACAGCCTTCGGAAGCTCAAAGTTTTGAATCTCGGAGCTTCTATCTTTCAGATTGCAAACACATGGGACTTCATGACAGTAAGGCTTAGAGGTAGCGACTCAGGCTGTCGGGTTGGCGACCGGAGATCTGCATTAGAGAGATGCTCCCATCCGAAGCTCTTTGCAAAGGCTCTGCGTTCCGAGTGCGAGGTCTGGAGCACGAATGCTCCGCACCACTGAACTATACTCCTTTCCGAAATCTTTCCAAAAGCAGGCTCAACAGATACCTGAATCATGCTGCAACCAGGCCCCTACAAGCGAACCCAAACGCAAAAATCTGAGTCATTTCTTGGGGCCGATCCATACATCCCAAACTGGGAACCAACTGGGCTTCCGTGCCTCGAATAAGACAGGGCGAGGAGTGAAAGGTCCTCGCCAAAATCTGCTGAACAATGGCGAGTGGATTCAGTTTTGTGTCTAGCCACGAGTCATTCTTCTGGGTGTGCATGCAGGCGAAGGGGAGCGAGTAGGTGACAGAGGAACTGATTTGGAGTAGATGCACAGTCCGAGGAGGAAAACCGGAAGCAGCAGCGGCGGAAGCCAATCGTTGCTCTGCTGCTGATGACGGCAGCACTAGAAGATTCAGTAGTGGAGGTGGTTGCAGTCGTCGTCGAAGCGGTAGCAGTGGGGTAGCGGTAGCGGATGCCGCAGCGGTGGCGGCGGAGGCGGCGGCGGCGGCGGTGGTGGTGGTGGTGGTGGTATGTGGTGGTGGTGGCAGTAGCAGTGGTCGTGGTCGTGTTCGCGGTCGTGGTCGTGGCGGTGATCGTGGTGGTGGTCGTGGTATGTCGTGGTGGCCGTGCTTTTGTTTGAAACGCAGCCAGGGAGTCCGGGCGATGCGACAGGGAAAAGGTCAGTGATATATGATATCACCGGCTGGCGGTCGTGGTGGTCATGGTGGTGGCAGCGGTAGCGGCAGCGGTAGTAGGAAGAGCAGGAAGAGAATCAGGCGCAGCAGGCCTAGAAATACAGCAGTAGCACTGCAAGGAGGGAGAGTTGTGAAGGCATCCGCTGGAAATACTGGCGGTGACGTCCTCCCATTTCGACTTCTCGGTGATGCGCCGGAGCAAGGTGGGGACAAGGCTTCGAAGAAGCAGCTCATCACGGAAGCCGAACTTTGCCAAGGAGTTCCTTGATTGACAGAGAAAGTCATGTGTGTGTAACTGTCTACTCAGCTAGCACGGTGTAGATTGCCAGTACCTGTGTCCGTTTGGGAAGATTTTGGGTGTCAGGTATGAGATTTCGCACAGGATTGCAGAATCGGGCACTCGGCTGTGGTCAGCTCTGACAAGCTTGTGGTAACGTCTGGCCATTAGGTGTGGCTTTCCGGCCATGGACACAGTTCTTGAGGGTGCCTCGAAGGCTGCCAGGCTGTGTCCTGTTTCTGTGTATCCGGAATGCTTCGGTGTTGCTCCGAGGCTCGTGCATAATGACAAATCTGTCCCTTGCACGATCTGCGGAAGCTGACATTCAAACCGCCAGTGCAACATTGAAGGACGATGACCAATGATGGCAAGCTTCAGCAGCAGCGCAACATCCCGCACTGCAAAGCGGCGTGCTTTGCTTCGCACCTGTCGGAACTCCGGATTGAAAACAGATCCCGCTATCACCCGAAGCAAGCTGCTGATATTGTGTGCATGTTAGTCTTTCGGTGATGAAGTCTTGCAGACCTGCATCATGCTCCACCGCGCATCCACATCATGGTGCACGAATCACTGCGTGGCAAGGGCATGCCGAAAGCTTCCGGCAACTAAACCCAAACAAGAGTGACAAGCAGGGTGTGCTTTGGCGCCTCCTGCAGCATATAGTCCAAAACAGCGTGGTCTTTGTATCGAATTCGGGCCTTCAGCGAGTCTTCTGCAGGTCATCGTGCTGGCATAAACGGTGTGGAGAATTTTTCTCCGAGCTTGCGGCGGAAGTTCAACAATCTATGAAAGCTCAGCTGTTGAACAAACCATGCTGTAAGTGACCGGGCTTCCAGCCTCACACTCACAGCTTAACAGACATCTGTAACTTCTTACAAGTGCGCTCTGACCCGAGACGAATTTTACATCTGGGGCAGATCCGCAGGGCAGCGCACTCTCGGCTAGTCTGAATCCAGGACTTCACCGATAATACCGCCATTGTCATCTCGAGAGCTGGTGCTGAAATACTTGAAATCCTTGGCTGGAGATCCCCTTTGGATTCAGGATTTAAGTTTAGAGATGAAGGTTCAAAAGCCTGAAGTACTGAAGATGAAGTTTAGAAATGCTCATGCGGGACGGAGGGATAGTGGCAGTGGTAGGAGTAGCGGTAGCAGCAGCAGAGGGTAGCAGAGGGCAGTCGCAGTGAGAAGCAGAAGTAGCAGTACTAGCACTACCACGAATCGTCGTCTTAGTGATGGTAAGAAGAGGCGCAGGTAGTATGTTAGCAAGGCTGAAGATTTTTTGGGCAACTGGCACAACGGCCGAAAATGCCCAAAGTTTGGCCTCTGTTTGTCTTGCCTGTCACATGCTGCATAGACTTGGTACGCAGTCATTCCATCTAGTCTCGACAAGGACCCCCTCCAAGTTCCCAATCATCTCGATGACCACATCACCACTGGGGCACGAAGTCCGAAGGACCAGGAAAACTGAATAAACATGAATAAACACAACTAACCCCCAAGCTACAGACCACGAACCAAGCATCCCGAACAACGCGTCAATGCGTTCTGAACATACCGATCACTTGCAGCATCAGCGGCCATGAAGATGGCAACAGCCATGACCATAAGCTTTGCAGCTGGATGACCGACCTTAGGGAGCCAAGGGGAGAACAGGCAAGGAACCTCCAGCCTTCCGAGGCTGTACGCGCTACCTTAATAATATATTAACATATTTAATAATATAGAATAATATAAGGGAGTATAGAACAATATAGAATAATATTGCAGGTTTGCTATGAACCTGCACTGGCGCCGGTCCGACGAAGCCCGATGAACATGATGCGTTGGCTTGAAGACTTGCGGGCAGGTGAAAGGACAGCGGGACAGTGAAGTCAGACTACATCTGAGTGGGCCATTTATGGAACTCCGTTGTCCGTCGTGCGTGCTCGATGCTTCAGTTGCAAACTGCTGCTCTTTGCTATTTGCTATTGCTTCACTTGCTGTAGTGGACAACGCCTAGCTCTTGCTCCTAGTTACTACTTGCTACCGCCCTTCCTACAAAGCTGAAAAACCCTTGAGCCGCGGCCTCTCCGAACTCGATGTGGTAGTTGTCCACGTCGTCTTGGATCATCCACTTGCAACAGGAGAGCCGCTTGATGATCTCGCCGATCTGCCGTCCACTGGGATCCCTGAAGCAGAGCTTTCGGCTCTCACTGCGAGGTTTTGTTCCGTCAGCTCTTCAGCAAGTTTGCTGCTTCCGTGCGCTTGGAGGATCGAGAAAAACTTACAAGCAGGCTATGGTTGCGGCTAGAGGTACCTTGATTGGGGTTATCTTGCCTGCCAGAGTCAGACACCTGATTCTGTCAAGCAGGGAACTGGAAGAGGTTCTACTTTAGCCAGCACCACTTATGCACCTTTCCCTGCCACTACTAGACATACATACATAGCAAGTCGTGATGACCAGAATAATTCAGAAAGCAGCAGAGAAACAAGACGGAAAAGCAAACCTAGAATCAAACATGACGCAAAAAAGGATTTGTCAGCGTTTTGGCCGAAGCCCCGCGTTCCGACGCAATAGAAGAATGTAGGCAAGCATGGGGGGTGGGGAATTCAACCGCCATCTCTTTAGATAAGTGGCTGGATCTCGAACTTCACCTCCGCGCAGGGGCCGCATGGACAGGGGCAGCAGAGCCCCAGTTGACAGCAGCCGCCGTCGATGGTGACCAAGTCGCTGCCCTGGTGATCCTGCACTTGCGTATGCGACTGGTCATTTCAATCTTGAACACAGTCGCAAGAATAGCCATCATCATCGTCGTCGTCTACATCACCAACTTCACCATTATCGATCATTATCGTCAGAGTCTTCGGTAGATCGTCTGAACCTAAGAGTGCAGGCTGCCATCTTTCGTGCTTCCATTTCCCGTTTGCCTACTGGCTTGCAAGTGCAGGACTTCACGGCTTAAGCCGCAGAAGCCGAGATGGGACTAAACCGGGGGAGCTCTGCACAACCAAGGCTTATTGATTAGAATGATATTCTGTAGGGTTCCTTAGTACAAGTAGACTATGACAAAACATACCCCAACACCTTGTTCTACCTACTAAAGCCCGGGTGAGGGGATGTTAAGAAAACGAAGCTCGCCCCGAGCCCGAGAGACCTTGGCATGAAAGACAAGGTTGCAGCAAGTGCATGGATCTTCCACCTCGCCGATGGGGACGCCTTGGGCAATCAGACATAGCGCCTTTTCGAGCTTAGTGTGCTGAAGGAGTTCGCGTGAGTCTGCTCTTTCACGGCTCTAGGGCCAAGCACTGTAGGCTGTTGCCCACATGGCTCACTACTACCAGACTTTCTCTGAGAATCACTCTCGCTCCTCCAAAAGCTTGCCTGTCTAGTCAAGTTCGCCATACTACGACATCCCGGCCTTTTCCTTTTAAGTCCGACCCGGCGGCCTTGCAGGTCCTTCACATACAGGACAGGCCGGTTGAAGCAGCAGCCTCAAGCTAGTCAAGTGCTGCTCGGGCTTATGCTTTGCGGTCTAAGTCTGGTTTCGAACTTGCCCTGCAGCCGCCATGCCGCTGCTGTACAGAGCTGTGACAAAAAATATGCAGAGGGCGTGATTCACTATCTATCATGAGTTACTGAATTACACAGACCTCTCTTCAACGCCTGCCTGCACTGACCTCTCGCATTCCACCGACACAGCGTCCGCAGCAAACCGTCCATCTCTGTTCCTGCTGAGCAGCATGTGAGCGTCCAATTCCGTTCCAGCTTAAAGGCTGGAGTCTGCTGGTACCTCGGGCAATGCGGATCCATCCCCTCCGGAACTGATAGAAAGGATTCAGGTGGACATGAGAACTTTCAACCCGAGCGCAACCCTAAATGCCTAAACTCTTCCGGCAAGGTGCAGGAGGTCCACGTTCCAGGCCGCGCAGTCGGGGCAGCACTGCTTGAGTTGCATCGTGAGACAGTCGGTCTGCTCCACGGCAAAGAATATCTCCTGGCCCTGGCGTTTATTTCGGGCTTCAGGCCCAGAGAATCTATGACCGGAACTGGGGAAACATTCTGGCAGATCTGGCAGACAAGGATCCGTCTTCGAATCCAAAATCTGATACCTCGGCTGGATCCGCAGCGACGGCATGCAATGGAGCTTAACTTTCCGTCAACGTTGAAGAACAGCCTGCAAAGACTTTCATGCTCGCCGTGGCCACGTTCTCAAGCTGGAGAATTACATAGACTCATCATGCGATATGGGTCTAGTCTATTCGATATGGGACGATATGGGGGTCAGAATCTGATGGAAAGTGAGCTCTAGCGTCTGCTCTCCGGAAACTTCTACCGCCCTATGTGATGTGGCCTCCAGCTGCCTGTAATTCCTTACAGTGGCGAAGGAGTTCTTCACCATGGCACGACTGCCACTGGAAGGATGTGCATTCAAGGGATTCTGTTCCTAGCCGAGGGGGCACTAGTCGGACAATCGAAGTCGTCGAAGTACTGTACAGGTCGTGGAAGTGATGGTGGCCATCGTCGGAGAAACAAACCAGAGTGGCAGACGAAGTACTCTCAACAAAACTTGCAAATCCAGCACAGTCTTATTGCTCCTTGCAAAATGTCCAATAAGTTGCCCTTATCTGAGTAAGAGAACACGTCCCGCCCCGAGCTGCCAAGAAGCTTGTTTGCCATCTCGATCCTTGGTTCTCTTGGGCTTAGGGGTCAGATAGGGGTTTATGGTGCAAGACCCTTGGTTCACGCCGGCTGGAGCCGAGTCTCTCTTGCCCGAGAGCAGCAGTGAGAGCTTCCACGATGCGCACCTGCTCCTTGATCTGCACGGAGCTCACCTCACATCGGGAGGTTCACTTAGCCGAAGGCTCCAACTGAAGGAGGCTATGGCTTAGGGACTTGGGGCCTAGGGTTTGTAAAGTCGCCCGGCGCGATGGCTTCATGTGCCCATTATTCATTATTCTGCTGGTCTGCATTCGTGCGAAACCGAAGCGGCAAGATTTGCTAGAGCAGAGACGAGCAACTTGTCAGGGCTTGCTATGCATTTGTCAACTCAGGCAACACTACGACGCATGAATCTGAAATACCACGTTCGAGGTGGCTGTCCTCCTCTCCGATAGGAAGTGACACATCACAGGTTCAGACAAGTCACATAGTTCAGCTGCTCCATGGACTGCATCCCGGGTGCCATTGCATAGCCAGCTCCAGGTCCGGGCGGCATCCCATATCCGGGCGCGGGTCCAGGCGGCCCATATCCGGGTGCGGGGCCATATCCGGGTGCGGGGCCATATCCGGG